TGACCCAAACATTGTATGCACATATGAATAAAAGAAATAAAAAAAAAAAGAAAAACCTAATGGAAATTAAAAATACACAAATCTTAGCACCTAATTACAAACAGAAGTTTACCTGAGTGCCTGTGATATAAACAACCAAGAAACATATGAAGGTGTGACAGTCTTGTACATGTGTTAATAACAGGGACCTCTCACAGCCTCTTTGTCATCCCTTTACTCACCAAAAATTTACTAAATCCCTTGTTGAATAAAAACAGTATGAAGTAAAAAGATCACAAACTTTGGAATCCAAAAAAACCTTGAATTTACTTCTATCTCTGTCACTTAGAAGCAGCTTTTAGCAATTTGCTTAACCTAAAGTTCAGGTTTCTAGTGTTAAATTGGGATGACACCTTCTACCTTGCATGGTTGCTGGGATGGGGACAATCAGATCCATGTCACATTAAGAGGTAAAGGTTTTGTCAGCTAATATATGTAAAATGTCTATCATTTTAGGAACTCAAGCTTCTTTTCCATGTTAAAGCTTCTTTATCTACAATAAAGTTAAGTCAGGTGTGGTGGCTCATGCCTGTAATTCTAGCTACTTGGTTAACAAGAGTGGATGGATCATGGTTTCAAACCAGCTCAGGCAAAAGGTTTGCAAGACCTGATCTCAACCAATAGCTTTGTGTGGTGGTATACACCTATCCTACCAGCTAGTTGGGAGGCATAGGTAGGCAAAATCATAAAACTCTATCCCCAAAATAACTAAAACAAAGAGGGGTGAGGGTGTGGCTCAAGCAGTAGATCGCCTATCTAGTAAGCTCAAAGGCTGAGTTCAATCCAAGCTCCACCAAAAAAAGAGAATTAAAATTAAATTTTTTAAGAAACAAAATATATATTCAAAATTAAAAGATTTAGCATTACATAAGTTTACACCTACTTAAAATGAAACATTTGAAATATAAAACTTATTTTAGAGAAAAGAGAGCTCAATGATTCCAAAGTATTAAGATTAATGGATTCAGCCAGTTAACATACTTGAAAAGAATTTTGAGATTTGGATGAAGTATGAATAAAATAGGAAAATATCTATTAAAATACAACATAACTCTAACTTAACAATTACCTTCAGGCTGGAGGTTAGCTCAGGGTAGAGCACATGCCTAGCAAACATAAGACCCAACACCACAAAAAAAGTACTTTGATGTTACCAACAAAGTAATTCTACCTATAGTGATCGCTCCTATCCACAGGTTCAGCTAGTCTGAAAATATATGGAAAATTCCAGAAATAAACAATTCATAAGTTTTAAACTGCATCTATTCTGAGTAGTGTGATGAATCTCATGCCATCCCACTCTGTCCTGCCCAGGACGTTCAATCTATTTCTGCTGTATACACAACTCACTCAGTAGCCATCTCAGTTATCAGAACTTCTGTGCTAATATTCACGTAGCCTGATCTTTACTTAATAATGGCCTCAAAGCCCAAGAATACTGATGGTGGCTATTTGGGTATACCAAAAAGAAGCTGTAAAGTGCTTCCTTTAAGTGAAAAGAAGAAAGCTCTTCACTTAGGGAGAAAATCATATGCTAAGGTTGCTAGATATTCTGCGTAGGAAAGAACACATTCGCATAATTTTTATTATAGTATATTATAACTATTCTATTTTATTATTAGTTCGTGTTGTTAATCTCTTATTAAGCCTAATTTATGAATTAAACTTTATGACAGATAAGTATGGAAAGAAACATGATATAAGTAGGGACTGGTATTATGTTTTCAAGTGTCTACTGGGGGTCTTAGAACATAAGACCCTATATGGGGGATCACTGTACCAAGGGATCCAGAATTGTGCATTTCCACAGGTGGGGCACATGCTCAGTAAAGGCCTAAGAAGACCCCCTCAGGTTTTGTACCTCATAAGCTTCAAGATCTGTGCAAGCAGGAAGTAAAAGTTCAGGTAGAGTAGCAAAAAGCATGGATAAGCGTTAAAGGAAGCCTCTGACACAAAGTCGATCTACAAACACCTGGAGAATGTTTTTCTTTTTTTTTTTTTTTTTTGTTTTTGCTTTCTAGGTTATTTTGGCAAAACATTAGCTGACCACTAAGCTACTGGTCAGGCACTTCTGTGGTCACATGTGACAAAGAATATAGAACTTACAGACAGTTGAAAAAGACATTAAGGAAGCAAATAACAATAATCACAAAGGGCAGCACCAGCAAACTCCAAAGAAGGTGGGATCTGATTTCAAGAGCTGCCACAATGTGTAATATTTACAGTGCCCAGTTTTAAATTGAGAGGAAAAAATGAGACATGCAGAGAAAGACAGTGTGGGCGACTCATGGGAAAAGAAGAAATTAATAGGAACTTTCCATAAGGAAACTCAGGCATTGGAATAACTACAGACAGACTTTTAAATCAACTATCTTAAATATCCTGAAAGAGCTAAAGGAAATCGTGACAAAGAACTAAAGGAAACTAGGGGAATGATGTCTCAGTAAGTAAAGAGATGAATTTCAAAAGGCACCATATACACTCTGGAGTTGAAAGCACAGTAACTGAAATGAAAAACTCACTGGATGGGTTCAACTGTGGATTCCAGCAGGCAGAAAAATGAACCAGTGAGTTACATGAAAGGATAAAGTTGAAAGACTCCCCATTTGATGTCAAGACTTACATAGCTACAGCAGGTACTGACATTAGGATGGACAAACAGATCAAAAGAAAAAATAGATCCATCAAAAAATAGATCCAAACAAGCACAACCTATAGATTTTTAACAAGACCTAAGAAGAACCAGGGGAACTGAGGTGTAAGTCCTAGTCTGAGTCCAAAGACCCAAGAACCAGCAGCACTGATGTCTAATGTCCAAGAAAGGAGATGAGTATTTCAGTTCAAGTGGAATAAATTCGTCCTTCTGCCTTTTTGTTCTAGTCAGGCCCTCAACAGATTGGATGATGTCCACCTTCATTAGTGAGGCTACCTTTACTCAGTCAGATTCAAATGCTGATCTCCTCTGGAAACACCTCATGGCTAAAAGTAATGTTTTACTTGCAATCTGTGCATCCCATACTTCAATCAATTTCACACATACAATTAACCATCACACAGCCACCAGCAAAAGCAACCCTGGTCATGCCTTGTTCTTGGACTTCTAGACTCCAAAACTGTGAAACAATAAATTTCTGTTGTACAAGACACTAAATTTGTGTACTTTATTATATCAGCGCTAGCAAACTAATACACCATTGTGTGTGTGTGTATGTGTTTTGCTGGGGATCACACCCAGGGCTTTGTGCATGCTTGGCAAGTGCTCCACTACTGAGCTGCATCCCCAGCCACACACCATCTTAAAAATCATCTTCCCACATCAATAAATAAACAATTCTGGGCTGGGCGTTGGTTGTTCACACCTGTAATCCTGGCTACTCAAGAGGTAAAGATCAGGAGGATCCTAGTTCGAAGCCAGCCTGGGCAAATAGCTCTCAAGACCCTATCTCGAAAAACCCCTTCACAAAAAAGGGCTGGCAGAGTGGCTCAAGGTGAAGGCCCTGAGTTCAAAACCCAGTACCACAAATAAATAAACACTTCTGCTATCTTTCTTAATGTTTTATTCTAATCCATTCTATAGATCTACTATCCTTTATTTAGCTAATCCTCTTATCATTAGACATTTAAGGCTTTTCAATTTCTGCTATGATTAAAAAGTGTTGAAAAGTAATCTTTGTACATATCTTTATATGCATTTGGCTTCCTTAGATGTGAAATTGTTGGCTTAAGGAATAATTTCTTAAGCTTTTGATACATATTGCCAAGCTGTCTCTGGAAACCTTGTATTAATTTACTTTTATTAGCAGTATAATAATTTCCAGTTTCCATACCTTTGACAGGTATTGTCAGTCAAACATAAAAAAATGTCAACTCTTCATTATCCATTTTTCTATTGGGGCTTATATCTTTTTGTTTTCGTGTAAATGCTTTTTTTTCCCTAACATAACTAGTTTTTAAATGGAACCCAGTATGTATCTTTCCCCCACTAAAAAAAAAGAGTAAGAGATAGTTAAACATATCTCCGGTGACCTTTTCCTCTGAGACAATATACATATTTAAAAAATGGCTACAAATATTTATTCCTAAATATAAAAGATTACTCTCCAGATATTATATTATCTAGCAGAGACTGTCTCCCCACAAGACTGAACCAAGTTTGTTACATCATTAACAAATTAAATGTTTTCAGCCTATGCTGGTAAACTGTATTCTTTTCTTTCTTTTTCTTTTTTTAAGCTGTGACCATACAAATTTTGTTACCAAAACCGTCACTTATATCACAAACTCAGTTGTGATTTGCTCATGTCTTAATCCATTTGTTTTAAAGTACTCTAAAAAATAATGCAAATATTATAAATGTTTCATTCAGCATTTTTCTGTACTCTAGGAAAACATACCTAGAACATCTGTTAGAGGATTACATGACTGCTTTTAGTTTGTGAATTGTATTTCATATGTTAAATCATGTGAAAATTTTAATGAGCTTCATTTGATATTATTATATATTAATTTATTGTTGGCAGAAATATCCAAATACAAGACAAATGCTTTCCT